CCGTTTTCAGAAAAAGACCCTAAACCACAGAATCCTTAAATTTATCCTGTCCGATTATTATCCAATCGCATGGCAGAATCCTTACAAATTCCTCTACTTCTATTGGTCACTTTTTTACTAAGTGCACACTGGTGTTTTCATCTTAGTAATTGTCTTGATAAAAATTACCGATATTTGGACTTTTTTTTTTTACAAATTTTCATAACATTTAAGATTATTTTTAGATTGTAAACAGTTGGATTGAAAATAGATAGGATAAATGAACTTGTTCTGTTGTAACTTGTGTTTGCATTTTGTTATATTTCTCTCGCTCTTACGGTTTTAACCCAGCTATTCCCATTGCTTAGTATTCACGGACATCAATTCACTCGACAAGTCCCCAAATCAGAACACGGTTGAACAGGAAAGAGATTGTATTCCAAATAATACATGGAAGTGAGAAGCACAAAAGGAGAAACGTTAGAATATTTATAGTTTTTACATACGAAGATTCTAGAGTCTTCTCCAAGTATCGACTAGCGCTGATTGGATAAGAATCAGCCAATCAGCGTGCGTCAACGCAATCGTGCATTGAGCATGCTTAAATCTAATCTATGTCCCGCTAACACATTTATTAAAGCTTCATTTGGAAGAACCTATTGCGACTGTGATTAGAATACATTGGTCATTCTACATATGAATCATTGTTTATTCATTACACATTTATGTTTACTGTATCACAAAATCAACGTGTTTTGTTTTCAAGCTTTTTAGAACCCACACAGCACATCTCAATTCTATCACACAACCATATAGGTACAAAAACACTGGTGAAAATTATTGGGTTCGAGTCTTAATGCGAATAATGGTCTGAGCCAATAAGAATTGAAGTTATCTCGGTTAGTGGTTCCCAGTTAAAACGTCTTACTGGGTAAAACGGTAGTTTAAAAACGTAATAAGTATACTTAGTATAGAGAATAATAAATGGTATTTATAATTAGTGAACCTTTTCAAGTAATATGAATTAAACCTCCAATTCGTAGCAATTGAAGATCGGGGGTTTGTAGTGGAAAAAACACAAAGATTCTACACTCATTAAACAACTGGTATTGTATCAACTACTTGATCACGTGGGTTCCAACAATAAGATGTGACTTCTCTTAAGTTCACACCAACTGACCGAGAATTCAGAGTGAAACTAAAGGAGAAATGTTTATTATTGTGAAGAAAATGCAAACATCATTGTAGCAATTGAAGGAGCATTTTATGAAAAGTCAGTTAGGATTCATTAGAAAATTACAGACATAGCTGATAAATCATTTAAATCATAAATTTCATTCAAAAACAAATGAACTAATAGTGATATAACTAATAAATATTTGTTCAGAAACAAAACGTGACTCCGGGATGAATGAATTTATCACTTAATTTCTGTCAAAACTACTAGCAAGGATTAGTGAAGATCATGCAGTTAATAAAGCATCAAGTATTTCACATGAAATTTTGACAGTATGGAAGGGTTGCGAAAAAAATACGATTAATGAATTATGGGATAGAGAACAAATATCAACACTGGAATTGAATTACATCTAGCTCACGAGTCTCAAGTAGGATAAAAAACATGTCATGGTCTCTACTATTAGCCGAAATTCAACTATTATACATAAATAACACAAATCTTGTTTGATTTACCATTGTAATCTGATTATTTTAAAATGAAATTCACGACCCTTTCTTTCAGCTGTACAAAAAAACCTTACCTAACTGACGACAGCATATGTGGAGAAATTCCTTGGAATGCGCATTCCCAGCGACTGATTTTAAGAAACTTCAAAACATTTGATAAATACTTATGCACTTCCCATTGTGCCATTGTAGGCCTGAGCTTCAATAAAACTGCTGTTTTCCCGGTTTTTAAGAACTGTGTTAGAGAGTTTGAATGGAACATGGTGTACTAGATTTGTGAATGTTTTAGGACATTGTGTTCAGTTGTAAAATGTAGGACAACATATAAGCGAACGACATTGTTTTCGATTAGATCCTCATCAGGGTTTACTCTAATATACAGCAATATTTATATGCATATACGAAATTATTAAGTTTATGAGTCAATTATAGCAGTGGAATAGATTACATAAATAAACACAATAAGTGAAAAATACAAATTGGTAATATGATGAGAGGTGTACTAATTGTGATAAGAATAATAATGGCTTGAATCGATGTTACGTAATGGGAAATAGGCCAATGATTAGAAAAGTATAGACACTGAAATAACATTCATAAAAATGATAAAATTACGTAATAAAAAGTGTTCAGATAATTGGACCGTGAAGTGTATATTTGAGAAAAGGGTGGGAGGGGGTGAGGAAAAATAAACAAAGGAAGCGTATGGGAAGTCATAATAAATAAAATCATTTGTTAAGACCAAGGAAGAGATAAAGGTTTTACTAATTCCTGATGAAAACAAAGACTCGGATTGTTGACTCGAATTCCGATAGTTTCTGCTATGTGTAAGAGACGAAATCGAACCCCATAAGGAAAACTAATAGTAATACAATAAATAACTTATTTCTGTCTACTATGTGACCACTATCGACCACGTGTAATAGAACCAAACTGCGTATTGTCTTGACAGTACCTTTTCCTAACGACGACGTGAGGTGGTCACTAACTCTGGCTCAGTTGTCTGGTAGTGCACCCAATATAGCTTTCTCCCCAGGAGCAACTGGAATCATAGATACACGTAGAAATGGTATAACCAGGTAACTTATCATTTAGTTGAGGAACCACCATAGATCGGGTCGAGTACGACAGACAGAAGTTAGCTGCATTAAACGTTCTCTTCACTGCTCTAGTCAGTCTATCATGTAGCATATCATCAGTCACATCTCCAATGAACTGCAGCTTCGGGAAGAGAGGTTTCTTACTAGCCTTTGATGTCGCTATTTTCTTGCTTGTTACATGCAAGTGTTTCTTTGGGGAACCTTGTGGATAACCCATTTCAATCAACATATTATGTAAAAGCTCTAATTCCTTGTTTATTGTATCGACTGGGCATATCTTCCTAGCTCTATCTGCAAGATATTTGACAAGGTTTCTCGTATAATGAAGGGGTACATAGCTGATAATTAATTCACCTACCTTATAAGTACAGACAGATGGTGGATAGCAGTGAAATCCAGGACGCGCGTTTCGTCATATTCGGGACTCATCAGCTGGACGTACCCGCATCCCAGATTTGATGTTTGCTCCAGGACTCGAAACCAGCACTGTTATTCACTTAGCTATTGCGTCCAGATAGCCACAAGCCTGTGCAAAGGGGTAGGAATTAATGCATTTTTGTATTGATTGGTCAACAATCAAAATAAATTAATTTACTTACGTTCAATAATTTTTAAGTTTAATTTTTTTCTTTAAAGTTCTATTCAATTCAGGATCTCGTTACTTAAATACTAACATTTTCTAGAGAATTCCTATTTTAAAATAACTATACATTTAGTTGGCTTAGTGATTTCAATGCACATGAGTGATAACTGATGTTGGAAGAAAATTTCAGTAGCCGTTAATTTAAACTAAATGAGTGCTAACTGAAATGGTACATCGCAATAGCCTAAATTTCTAGTAAGAAATATATATACAGTTATTTAACGAGAACTTATATTGTGAAATTCTTTATATTGGTGACTTAACTCAGTATCTAGTCAACAAAGTGTACTTCCGAAGGATTTTTGCTAAGGATTTTGCTAACCAGATATCTATAATTTAAACACTAGACGGTTGTTTAAATGGGATGTGTACATCGAAACAATTCTTTCTGTGAAGCTAGTTTGTTACATTAACTGTATTCCGGTCTTATTCTTACGTGTTGTTAACCGTACATCATCACAGCTTAGAAAAGAAATTACTGAACTTCACTCGCTACTTATCGAGATAGCTTACAATAATTTGGCGTTTTTTGAATCGAATCGATTGATGGCCAAAGTTACACTTATATCACAGAGGTACTTCGGCACATCGAGTTTTTGTCCGATATTCAGTCCCAGAGCCGATAATGTTCTTAATTATATTTATTTCATCCAATAGCGAATAAGTGAGCAGTTTGATAACTTTATACCAGCATCAATAGACCAATAATCAAACTCCCGCTTTCATTCTCTCAAGGAAAATTTTGTATATGGAGCAAAGAAACTACACACAGCCAGTTCTTTTAGACTATTACTTTCTTAAGATCTTATTAACAAATAATTAATGGGAATTATACTAAGGTCGTGGTCAAACTATCAATGAGAAAAATAAACAGAAGTAACTCACCTTTCTAAAAATGAAAATGCGGAGCAGTGTCAGTAAACATTTGTTAGGAGGGTAGTAATGATGAAGAAACATCTCTGCCTTACAAAATATTCCCACATATCTTGTACATTTACAGGGCTATCAAAAAATTCTAAGCCGTGTAACAATTCACCTCGGTATGAAATTGTCCCATAAATAGTTGTGGCCAGACACAACCGATTATTAGCATATACGTACCTACACAAGCCTAAATGGAGTTGGGTCTGAGTAACAAAAATCTTATTTTTACATAAGTGGTCAATTACAGATTGAAAGGTAAACCAATAATAAAACAGCAAAGTAGTGTATCATTTTAGCCTGACTGATAGTACGCTAGACACAAAATAATGACGCGTCACATTACGTAAGTTTTGTAAGCTAGTCAGCAATGCTGCATGACGCGTGTGATGTTGCGCATGTGATCGATTTACTCTCTAGATATTTTATTGGTCGGATTTGCTGCGTCGCTATTGGCAGAAAAATTAAATAGTCATTAGTTGTAAAAGTCAACCCTGTATGGAGTTGACCACTGAGACAATCTCTTCGGCACTAACATTTTGTCCAGTTTTCTGGTATTTTCAATGGGTCATGTTGTGCTTATTTTGTTACTATGGCGTTTTGATAAATCCCTATGAGTGAATTGTAGTGCCAATTGGTTTAATGTTCTACTAATTGTAAGGATTAATACGATGACTGAAGTAAACGAAAATTCAGACTCTGGAATTAATTCAGCACCCATCCAGTTGAGTGAAGATGACTGGCTACAACTACTACAGAAGCTTACACCATCTAGTATTGAAAGCTTGCAGCAAACCTTAAGGCGGCTACAAACTCCTGAGCATATCAACACAACAGAAAAGGGAAATACATCAGTACCTTTTGTCAGCTGCTCGCCTTCTGTTCTTGCGCCACAGCCTCTTATTAGTCAGGCTCATCCAATTGTTATGTCACTTGGTATGTCCAAAACTCCTATTGCACCAGTAATGGCAATGTCGCATGTTCTAAACATTTCTAAAAACACAGCGAACTCTCTCCCAGGAAGGATTGTTCTCCCCTCATCAGCACTTCTTATTGCACCTCCAGCCCATGGACAAGCATACTCTTTGGATTCGTGTTTACCAGTTGCTGATCTGAGTAGGTTAGTTGTTACCAGCGGATGTTTTCCGAATGTGACATCGAGTTTGCTTGCAACTACAACTATACCTGAATCCTTCAGTAGTTTAAACACGCTAGCCAATGCAGCGGTTGCTATGGCTGCAAATGCCTCACACGTAAGTCCTGAATAGCCTTATTTTGATCTATTTGTTGTTACGTAACCTTGGGGATATGTAACCATTTACACCTTTTGTGTTTTATTTTAAAATTACTTGCGCCACCACATCCCTTGGTAAAACAGGGGTCAAATCATTTGTCAGTTAACCCTTGTATTACTTCAATACTCTACATCAAAGTTTTTAATTAGATTCTTTGAGCAATCGGTTATGATGGCGAGACTTATTTATGGACGAACCAATGAAATTAAGGGTAGCAAGTCTTGAACATTGGCTCGAAATTCGGTTATCCATACAGTTAAGTAGCATTTTGACATTTTAGCTGATATCACTCTGTGATGAAAACCATTACTTCAATTTCTAACCTTGGATTCTAACTTTAATTCTTCATATTAATTTAGAACTCGTTTGAACCTGGTGAGTAGATGAGTCGCCTCAAGGTTGCTAGCATCACTCAAAGGTCGTCCATGTATTATAGACCCACTGTCATTATTCGTGCATAGTTTCAGGATTTGATCGTAGTCTCACAAATATTAAGTTCCAAGTATTAAAACATTAGATGAAATTTATTTGTAAAATTTCCAACGTCCTGTAAGATTGGAAGTTAATTCATCCTTGTTATTCAGGTGTATACTGAGAGTACAAATATCGACTGGGCTTGGCAGACTGAATGTATAGTAGTCATGCCATTTGTTACCAATTTATTCTCTAATTAAATTAGTTGTTGTATATCCAAGGGTTTAATCGGGATCTCGTCAATCGACTGGAGGTTACTTCTCACTGATCAGCGTACCTTGGCTTTTCGAATTTGCTGTCCTGTTAGTTCTCGAGAAACTTATCGATAACTTCAACTCAAATAGATGAAATAATTTTTTCTTCTGCCACCATCTCCATCATGCGATTTATTGGCTAAGCTGTAATTTGAGGGCGAGCCAATGATGAACGCTCGAATCGTTTCAAGGTCATAGTGCGTGCATCAAAATAGATATGTTCTCTACGAATGATGAATTGCCTAGTTGATTACATTGCAAGAAGTTTTACTCGGAAGAAAGTCATAACGTATTGTTAACAATTAGAATGCAAAGTTTAGGGCCATGATTAAGTTTTGGTTTAGATTAGTGTTAGGATGTACAGACAAACCTGATAACAATTCGTAAACCCCGAACCCTAAATAATAAACTATCTGTAGATGTTAATTTCGACTCCGAAATCAAGACTGTACATCCTGATCTCCACATAAAATCATTAACTACGTATTCTAAATATAGATACCAAGCCTAAATCATGAATCTCAATAAAAATATCTCATTCGTATTTGCTGCATTCTGACTGGTTGAATGTATTATCCCGTCAAGGTCATTCACAGATTCTGGCTCGACTTTATTGCGTTCAGCTTTATCGATTTAGTATTAGTTCCTATCGATTCACATAGACTGTTATTCTTGAGTTATTTTGTAACGCAAACTTAGCTCAATAGTATTCAGCTGACTTGATTTTTGCAAAAAGGATGACTGTAATCAATAGTTGGGCATTTAAAGTGACGTGGCAAAACACGGATCACATTAATAGACAAGCGCCTAATATCTCTAATTTTTTAATCCTTTGATTTTTCTTCCTTTTTTCCCGTATAGCACTAGCATTATTGATGCTGTCATCAAGCTTACATCCTTATTGTTTTGTTGGTTTTTTCTCCTTGGTTGTACTGATGTTCAGTGTAGCATTTTAAAGCGATACGTATTCATGCCAGCTTCTATGTTGTTCATGTCTATCTGGAAATAAGCGTCGAGTTGTTAACCTGCCTTCGTTATTACCTTTCATGATACTAATTATCCTTTCAAACTTTAGTCTAGAATAACGTTTGAACCTGATTGCTGAGAACTGGGTTTGTAAACCATCAAACTATATTTAATACATTTGTGACGGACCAGCTAGGTGTATCGGCATCCCAGAGTTGATGATCACTTTGGGACTCGAACCCAGTACTGTTCACTTCGAACGCCATCGCTCCATCCACTTAGCAACTAAATCCAGATAGCCACTGGCTTGTACAGTATGGTTAATTTTCATTCACATATATCCTTTTTTGAATCTCTCCATCGATGTTTAGGACTCCAATCGATCAGTCCTTTTTTGGTATATGTGCATCTTATGCGGATTACCTCGGTATTGCCACTAAGTTGCAAGTATTTTAACCAGAGATGAATCTATACCAAACCACATAGAATTTTAAGTTTGCCTACCTCTTAATAATAAGACATTGTCAGTGTATACTTGTATACTTTTCAGAATTACATAACAATATGATACTTACAGGGTCAGACTGAATTAGATTGATAATGTGAATGATAAGCTGATTGGCTAGTAATATTTTGAATTTTTCGGGTGATGGTATATTATCAATTTGGCTGTCTTATGTTTATTTGTATGTTTATATAATCTATTACTGGGATCAGCGACCTGACGTTAGTTTCGCTATGGGAACTAAATTTATCTCTAGCAAAGCGAGTGTTTTGGTCTGCGGTGTTAGATTTGTAATGGTATATCCTTTCATTTTCGTAAGATTTAGGATATTTTGTGTTGTTCATTAACTTGGAAAGCAGATTCGAATAAATCAGCCCAATGATGGTTAGATTGTGATACGGACATGTGCTGTACTATTATTGAGTCAATGCGCTGACTTGGAAAAAATTCAAAATATTAGCAAACGAACATTTCTAATTTATATGATTAGCAGTTATCTTAGAAAAACTGACGTCCTATTATGACAGTCACGAGTAATTTCATCTATTTGGATTGTACTGTGATGAAACAAAGTCAATCCAATGGCCAAGGCTTCCGTCTCCAATCTCACTTATGTCATTTCGGGGAGCACTGTGTACGTAAATAACTTTCCAAATGACATTATGATTGTAATCTAGTTTTTAGTAGTTTGGAATATACCGTTGTTGGTATTTTGACTGAATTTCGATAAGTCTTAATTGTCATATATGCATCCCGAGGGAATCGTTTCAATATATCAATTCTATTGAGTTCTGGAATGAAAGTGAATTCAAGTACATGCAGCTGTGTTCTAAATGGAATAAAACGTGCGTCTTAGTTTCCACTGATAGCCACATTCCATCTATTTTATTCATACATTATGATTGATTCCGTTTAACTGCGGGTTAATGGTTCTCTACACTTTTAGGTACTTAAAAATCCGTGGCAATATTGGCAATTTTTAGTAGTTTGATTATCGAACTATTTAAGTGAAATCAGAAGGAATTGAAGCATTTGTTATTTCTCCCGTAAATCTTGAAGACAAAGATGTGTGAACGTAGTGTATGCTTTTCGGCAAATTCTCATCAAGTTCAGTTATATGTCCGAAGTAGTGATCCTAAGTTAATGTCAAATACTTATTTAAAATTACCACATTGATCGTTAGTAAACTAGAATTGTCAATGTTGCAATGACTAGTGTGCAATGCTAGCTTGAGTAATTTAATGCGTCAAGCGAAGTTGCAGGGTTGTTGCATCAGAGAAACTCCCTGATTGTGTGGAGCATTTTCCCCTTCGTGACCGGAGTACAACAGCATCTCTTCCGTATATAGCCTTAGCTGTCCAGCTTGGGTTCAATGTGTTTAGCTGATTCTCAGTACTGCCAAGTTGTATCTCCTCATTTCCGTTGCTGACTTGTTCTTTAGGTCCCTCACATTGTTCGGTCGTTCCATGTACCTATGTTAATTGTTACTATGGTTGTTAGAAGGAGCATCTGCCTCATGACTTCTGAAGAATCTTGGCTTACATCATGAGGTGTGATAATTCTTCCCTAGTTCTGAGGACACAGTTTAAATGGTTTAAATTGTTTATTCTAGTTAGCGATTTTTTGGCAAGGTTTGTTTTTATGAGGTCAGGTTGTTGACCCCATGCTCGACCCTCTCCCTTTGCTCGGGGTTAGGACCGGCAGTATATATATATATATATATATATATATATATATATATATATATATATATATATAATATTAGTAAGGATTCGTAATTTCCGCTGTTTGATAATTATAACTGAATTTGACCAGTCCTAATTGGTGCATGTGGATCTTTAGTGTGTTGCCTCGATAGTGCCTTTTCGTTACATGTTTTATTATGTTTAGATTGTGTATAGCACTGTAATGATGCACATTTAGTCGTGCTTTGCCCTCATCAGTTAGCTAACATCATCAGTGATGGGTTTCAATAAGCTGATGGATTTATCTATTACTTTTATTTTTTTTAAAATAGTTTGTATCATACTTTTTACATTTTCACTTGTTTCTCGCTTTTTCCTTTCCACTTCTGTTGGTACCATTATTTCATAACCTCTTTGTTTCACTAATGTCATCGTTTTGATATGATAAAAAGTGACATCTTGGGTCTATTCATATTTGTGACACTTCCTTAGTCATATGTATTTGTCTGCCTGTTACTACAGACGGGTCACATTTAATTCAGAAATCATTTACCTAATACAGTTTTATGTACTCGAACTTCAGCTACATTTTTCAAATGTAGGCTATTAGTACTACTTGATTGCCTATAAACGGTATAGGTGGAGCGAGGTTTGATCTTGTGACCTACTGACTGAAAACTGCGTATTTTAACCTAAAAACCAAGGCGGGTGGGTGTTAAGTACAACTTCTTAAACTATTAAACTTAAGTTATACACAATCGTCCTATGATCAAACTGAGTGCATGTTGCTGTAGAACTCAAATAAATGAAATCTTAGAGACAGTGTAATCGGTTAGAATTCTGCGGAAACCAACATTTCCTTTCAACCTCATCTCTATATTTTCTACTACGATTAGAACCATTAGGTAGCAGTCGATTTTCTGTAACAATACAGTCACTCAGAAAACAACTTTTTTCGTTATGACGCAAGAGTAACGAGGTCATACTATTTAATTTTTAAGGAATGTGTTATTGACTAGTTTACTTGATCTCCATTTAGATATTGTTACAATGTCATCTAAACAAATTTTCTTA